TACAGGCTGAGCCTCCCTTATCTGAAATGTTTGGACCAGAAGTGTTTCAGGATTTAGATTTTTTTGGATTTTGGAATATCTTCATTCTTTTGTATGCCCCAGTGATCATTTCCTTTGGGTGTCGTGTCGGCACTCAAAAAATTTTAGATTTTGGAACATTTCAGATTTTGAATTTTTGGATTTGGGGTGCTCAACCTGTACAATAACCTGGGGTAAAAGCAGAGGTCATAAAAAGGGGTCTGGATATGTTATTGGTGGAGCCAAAAGGATTTCCCAAAGGGCTGGCTATGGGACACAAAATAAAGAGAGGAACCGAAGCTTGATTTCACAGTTTTGGCTGAGCAACTGGAAGGATGGAATTGCCATCAACTGAAATGGAGAAAGACAAGGGTGGAACAGATGTGAGGACAAAGATTAGCAGTTTATTTTCGGATTTGTGAAAACTGAGACGTCTATTAGACATCCAAATGGAGATAACAAGTAGACAGATGGATACACAAATTTAAGGATCAGAAGAAAGGTCTGGAAGAGAAATACCCCTGGGAGTCCCTGGCACAGATACGCTTTTTAAAGCCATGGGCAGGATGAAATCACTTCTGGAATGTGTGGAGAAAGAAAAGCACTCCAACACACAAGGGTTTTGCTGTAGATACAGATATCTGTTCTGATAGAACATGCTCGCTTGCTAGCTGCTGACTCTGTACTCTCTTTGGAGGATAAACTACAGACCTGAGGAACAATCTCTCACTTTCTATACGATAGTACCACTTGACTCAGTCTTCACTTTGAACCCTTCGTTCCTGAAGATTTCTCTTTTCATCTTGCTTTCCAAACTCTTATTATCACAATTGCTTGTTCTATTCCCAATGTAATGTATTTGCCTGAAAGTAAGATCGAATCTCAACAACATAGAGTGCATTATAGATGATACCGCACCAAAGTCCACAGTCCTGTGAAGCAGTCTGCAAATGCAAAATGAATTGAATTTGAATCTATTATTTTAAAAATTACATATTTTATTACATAATTATTTTGAACTTACTCTGATTTTTGACCAAAAAATATATAGAATTTCAGGTTAGATTGAGAAGTTAGAATTCTTAGATTTTTGTTAATTGTTAATTTTATAAAATAGTTTATAAAAAGGGGACTGCTGTGACGGGATTATCATGTGCTCCTTAAATAAAAATTTTATCTCCTATAAACTGACAATATTGTGAGGTTTAAGAAGGTGTCACAGTCAATTTCAGGTTGAGCCTTTGAAATAAGTATTTTTGAAGTGTGATCTACCAAACACTTGCATTGAGAAAATCTGAGATACTTTTAAAAATTGAGATTCCCACATGCCACCAAAACCTACTGATACAGATCCTTTAGGGTAGAGCCCAGAAATCTGCATTTGAAGTCAGCACCTATGTTCAGTCTTCAATATCAAAATTTGAGAACCACTGTTCTTAAAAAGCAAGAGGACAACCCATGCAAGACACATGGAAACTTTAGGATCAAAATCCTAAATTTCTTGATAAAACAAATATAAATTGCTCCAAATTCACAGGGAAAGAGGATAGCTCTGCTTCCTGAATTCTGACTGCTGTTTTTCCCCTCCTCCTTCCTCCCCTCAAACTATCACCCCTTTTCTTTTCCAAAGCTAAATACCTACGAGATCCGTGTTCACTGCCTGTTCTCCCAGGTACCATTCTCTCCTTGAGCAGACATAACCTAGCTTCTACCTTAACAATTCTACACAACATTTATATAATGCCTGCATAATGCTTCAGAACTTTTAAAGCATTCCAAATACTTTGTATCTCAGCTGACATTCAAAACGCTCCCGTAGAGGTACATCTCCCGATTTTCTGAGTAGGGCTGAGATGATGAGTGACTGGCTGCTGTAGGATATGGAGCAAAGAAACGACCCAACTGCCACTTAGGTCATCCAATGCAAGCTCGGTATTCATGTCACCACACTATAGGGTCTAATAAACAAACTGCACTCTTAAATAACACCAATCACCTACCCCTTGGTTGCCAAATCTCCCTGTGAAGCGTCCGCCAAGTATTTCCTAATCATCCGCTTGCTTGGCTTCCCTCACTGTGCCTGTTTCCGATTCCCACTACTTGGACTCATTCTCCTAAACATGCCTCCGACTCGTATTCTTCTGTGTTTTTGTTTTGCTTTGGCAGTCTTGTGGCTTCTCCCATAACTTCTCCAAACTGACAAATGTTACTTGACAAATGTTCAATGACCAGTTGAGGATTTTCTATTTTCAAACTTTAAATTTATTCACCCAATAATCTTACTTTACCTTTAAAATATCTATGAATAGAATACATTAATTACATACTTGGACGAGAAAAAGTTCAAGACAAGTAATTCTATTCACTTAATTTCATACTCTGATGTGTTTAAAACAACATTTAAAATCTTAATACTGTTTTTAAGAAATACGTAAGAAATAATTTTGGAAATTTCTTCATCCTTGTTAGACATTCTTTTTCTCTATGAAGTTTTAATTTACTTTTTAAATAGAGCTACTCGAACATAAAACATGCCATCACATTAAACAAATTTAAGATCCATGCCTCCTGACTAAATAATATTTTCAAAATGTTTATCAAAGAAATTAGATGTTTACTTCATTAGGATTTCTCAAAAGTTTTAGCTGGAGTTGCTGTAGATGAGTTTAAATTTAAAAAGCAATTGAGTGAAGTATATAAAATAGCCTAAAATTGAGTTATCATAGCCGAAAGCAATTTTTTTAAGTTAGGCCACTTAATCTCAAATCAACCATACTTGGTACATGTTATGCTTTCTTTTATAAATGTCAGTAGATCACATTTTAAAAATTATTCCTACTCAGAACAAGTAGACTGCCTGTCATTTTATTTGGCTTCATTTTCATTTTTCTAGGTCATATTCTTCAGACAAGAATGTTCTGTTTAAAATTTGAGAACACAGAGGAAGTATATTCTAAAGAAAGGTATAAATGGTACACATCCATCAGATTGGGCTTTATCACGATATCTACTCATATCTGAGCACAAAATGTAGACCAAAAACTCACCAAGGGTTCTCTGTTTTTTACCAGACGAATTATTTTCACAGAGTCTTCCTCATCATCAATATCTTCAGGCATAGGAGGCAATACCGGGTCATAGTTCTTCTGAGCCACAGTATCATGTACAGAGAGCAAAGCCTATAAAATCAAAATGTTGATTAAAAAAAAAATATATATATATACATGCACACACATATATATCAAATATAAAATTCCAAACACATCAAGCTATAAAGAAAATCAAAAGAGTGTTTTGGTTTTGACATAGCAAAGGTAATAAGGCAACTACCTGAAAAGGTGCCTCTTACATAAGGAGTGGGAAGCAGAACCTGTTGAATAGTGGACAGTGGCTCTACTTAGCTGCCACCTCTGTCCCCAACACCATTAATGTGTGACAAAAATCAGAACTAAATTTCCTCTAACCTGTACATCCTTATAAGGGTGGCAGTTGGGGGTAGGGGTGAGGAGTGCTACTTTTGGAGAAAGGGGAATATGAGGCTAGAGATACACTGTCAATGAGCTAATAGGAGTCTGAAAACACTCTCTATTTTTCCTTTCCTATTACTTTTTCTCCTATTAAGAGAAATAACAGGCTGGGCGTGGTGGCTCACACCTGTAATCCTAGCACTCTGGTAGGCCGAGGTGGGAGGATTGCTCGAGGTCAGGAGTTCAAAACCAGCCTGAGCAAGAGCGAGACACCGTCCTACTATAAATAGAAGGAAATTAATTGGCCAACTAATATATATATAGAAAAAATTAGCTGGGCATGGTGGCACATGCCTGTAGTCCCAGCTACTTGGGAGGCTGAGGCAGGAGGATTGCTTGAGCCCAGGAGTTTGAGGTTGCTGTGAGCTAGGCTGACGCCACAGCACTCACTCTAGCCTGGGCAACAAAGTGAGACTCTGTCTCAAAAAAAAAAAAAAAAGAGATCACAGAAGCGATCAATATGATCGATTATTTTGTTGTTTTCTCACTTTAATTTTTGTGTAGTAGGTGACTAATATGTGTATAAAAGAATAAAAGTATTTCTAGACCAAAGGTAAGAAGAACACTGGAACCCTATTCACTATTTTGGATGACTGGGTTTTAGACTCTCAACAAACTTGATCCCTAATCAGCAACACTACCAACCACCAATTACTCAAGCCAAAAGCCTAGAAATCATCCTTGAAACCTTTTTTCTCACCTATACTCTCAATATCTAACTCATATGCTATAAAATCTACTTTCAAAATATATCTAAAATTTTTCCTCATCTCTCTAGTCTAGGTCAGTGATTGACAAACCATGACACCTGTCTCTGTATATAAAGTTTTATTGGAATAGCCATGCTTGTTCATTTATGCATTGTCTGTGGCTGCTGTCACACTACAATGGCAAAGTTGAGTAGGTGGAACAGACACCTTTTATTAAAAACCTGGCAGGCCCCAGTCTAGATCACAGATGCCATCACTTTTGCCTAGAGCATTAAAATAGGCTTTAATAATCCAGCGGTGTTCACCTTTGGCCCATTTTCAAACCTATGATTTACAGTGTGGCCAGAGTGATTATTTTTAAAACTTAAATCACATAACTGACCTGCTAATAACCCTTCTAAAGCTGCCCAGTAATCTTGGGATGAAGACCAAACTCTTGAGCATGTCCTAAAAGTCTTGCATACCACCCCAACCCTACCTGATATCACTTCCCTCCTCACTCACCCTAAATAATAATAATCTTTGTCACAGAGGCCTGGCCAAAACATCCCTTAAAAAAGCAGATCCCTCAGTTACTTGATCTCATAGCACCTTGTACTTTGCCTTCACACATGTTCATAATTTATAATCCTATTTGCATTTCTATGTTTATATATTTAATATTTGCTATGTACTGAAACAGAAACTGTAAGATGGCAAAGAAATGGTATCTATTTTTAGTTAAACCATCTAATTGACTATAACATATATTCAAAAAGTACAAATAGTAAATGTATAAGTATGAATTTTTAAAACTGAATATGCCCATGTAAACATATCCCAATCAAGAAATACAACATTAACTGAGCCCCAATAACCTTTATATGCCCCTTCCTAGCCATCATGCCCTCTAACCCCTACAAAGGAGGTAGTCTTGCCTCTATTTAAAAATTATATAAATAGGATTAAAATGTGTATTTTCCCCCTAATATTAAGTTAGTGACATTCATCCACGCATTTATTGGAGGCAGAAGTTACTTCTTTTTCGCTGTCAAGTGGTACTCCAATATATGACTGTTTCAGTTTCTTTACCCATTATGCCTTTCAGGGATATTTAAGTAGTTTTCAGTTCTTGGCTATTATAAAAATTGCTACCCATAAATGTTTCATATCTTTTGATGTACATACAGTCACTATTCTAGTTCAGTATATTTAAGAGTGGAATGCCTGGGTCACATGTTACAGTAAGTATATTCAACATTAGAAGATACAGACTGTTTTCCAGTGATACTCTTACCGACAACATGTAAGTTCTAGATGCATCACAGGCTCCTCAACATTTTACATTATTAGTTTAAATTTGGCCATTCTGAGTGTGCAGTGGTATCTTCTATGGTTGAAAGTTTCATGAAGTTTCATTTTTCTTATAACTAATCGGACTGAAACCCTTTTATGTTTATTGGGCATGTGTATCTATTCTTTTGTGAGATGCCTCTTCAAGATCCTTGCACATTTTTCCACTGCATCTGTCTTTTTCTTACTGATTTGTAAAACTTTCTGATAATACACTAGACCCAAGCCTTAGTCAGTTATATATGCTACAAATATATTCTCCCATTTAGCAGCTTGCCCCTTCACTTTCTTAATACAGTTTTACAATCAATAAAGGATCCTACTTGCAATGAGCTCAATTAAGGTTTTTTTCCTTCATGGTTGGTGCTTTTTGTGTCCAATGAGTTTCAAAGGAAAAGAATAAATAGTATCAAGATGACAAAATATCTGAAGATATAATGGCTGCAAAATTTTGAGAACTGATAGGAGATTGAAGATTCAGAAAGTCCAATATATCCTTTAGGAAGCAGGAAAAATAAAAGATACTTATGCTTAGATACATGACAGTGAAACTGCAAAATGACAAAGGCAAAGAGATATCAGAAATATCCAAAGAGAAAAAGACAGCTCATCAGAAAGGGAAAAAAAAATAAAATTAATGGACAGCTGACTGATCAGCAGCAATAATGGAAACTGGAAGATAGTTAAAATATCTGAAAGTGCTAAGAAAAAATAAAAGCCAGTCCAGAATTGTGTATCCAATGAAAGTATCTTTCGAGAATAATGATGAGGGCCAAGATAAAGTTTTAAAAGATCCACCTGAAAAAAACAAAACAAAAAAACCCAAAAGACAGTGAAACAATAATTTTTGAAGACAGGGGACACTGGGCAACAAAGGATGATGACCCCAAAGAGACAGAAAACAACATGAGCCCTATCCTATGACTGCCCCAGCCTACAGCCTAGAGTTTCTAGGCTGGGATGGGAGAAAAGGAACCCAGGCAAAATGGAGTGGTCTCCGTGGGTTGAGAAAAACAGAACTGAGAATACGGGAGGTGAAGCGGCTAAAATTCTCAGGGAAGACTATGAAGAGAGGAGATAGCAGTAGATAGACTCTGGAGATGTGTAGTAGGTTCCCTCTGAGTCCTGAGCAAAGAGCTTCTCCATGGCATGCATATGAAAAACTACCAGAAAGGATTAGAGTAGTGTTTCTTAACTGAGTTAAGAAACTGAGTTGCTAACTGAGTAAGCAACCTTACTCCCATGGGGCCATTCGGCAATGTCTGGATACATTTCGGGTTGTCACATTTGGATGATACTACTGCTGTCTCGTGAAGAGGCCAGGGATATTCCTAAACACCTGACAGCATACAGGAACAGTCCCCTTCCCCCAAATAACAATCATCTAGCCAAAAATGTCAATAGTTCCAAGACTGAGAAACACTGTAGTACAGGGAAGATTCCTGAATCTCACACAGAACAAGAATAGTTCCAGTTCTCACCATTGAGAGGGAAAAACCTCATATTCCATGGGCATTGAGGAGAGTTATGCTACTGTCTCAGTAGTGGGAAAAATAGGCCCAAGATTAAACACTGCTGTGGTCTCAACAACACTTAATAATAGCCTCTGAAGGATCAAATGTTTCCAAGTAAATTAACTGTGTAATAAAACAAAAGTCAAGAATGTTATCTACAAAAACACAAAATACCCAGCATCAAACAAGGTAAAACTCACAATGACTGTCAATCAAAAATTACCAGGCATGCAGAAAATACTACACATAATGAAGAAAAAAAATAAAACAATAGAACCAAACCCTAAAATTTACACAGTCAATAGATTAGATAAAACCAAATCCTAAAATTATACAGATATATAGTAGACAAGAAAATTAAAAGTTATTATTATAACTATACTCCAAATGCTCAAAGAAGCTAGAGAAAAGACTGAACATGAGATATGGAATATATAAAAAAAGATTCAAATCAAACTTCCAGAGATAAAAAATACAATGTATGAAATGAATAAAGTACACCAAATGAAACCAACACAAACTAGACACTGCAAAGGAAAAAGTAAACTTATATTAATAGACAAAGAAGTATAAATTATCTAAAATACAAAGAGTAAATATACTGAAAAACTATGAACAGAACATTAGTGAGTTGTGAAATGGTTATAAATGGCCATGTCAATATACATATAATTGGCATCTCCAAAGAAAGGGTGGATATGCTAAAATACACTTGAAGAAATATGGAAAAAATATTCCAAATTAAAAAAAAATAAACTCACATGTTCAAGAAGCTCAATGTGCTCAGGCACAAAATACCATAAAATTATACCAGATTGCTTGAAACCAATGAGAAAATCTTAAAATCATTCAAAGTCCATTAAAAAAAGCACATTACATGTAAAAAAAAAAATAAAAATTATAAATGGCAGCACACTACTCATCAAAAACAACGCAAGTCACAAAACAATGAAGCAGCATCTTTAAAATACTTGAAGAAAAATAGTGTCAACCTACAATTCTATACCCAGCAAAAATATCTTTTAAAAATGAAGGGTTAAAATGAAGATTTTTAAAGACATGCAAAAGCTGAAGGAATTTGCCACCAGCAGACCTA